CTCTAGTATATTATATTGGAATATACAGGAGTTCCAGTATAATATGCTGGTCTAGCATAATATGCTGGAAGTTCATACACAGGTGCTCCAATCTCCAGTATATTTTGCTGGAAATTTTCGCGTGTTGGAGTTCCAGCATAATATGTTGGAAGTTCATACACATATGCACCGATCTCCAATATATTATGTTGGAACTTTCCGTATTGCAACAAAATAGTGACTATCTTTTAATGATTTTGCAAACGCCTAACTATTTTTGAAGGACCATCCAAAAACTGGCTAGCCCGTACTATTTTTACTTATTTCACTCCTTAGGGGAGACCGTGAGTGAAAATATTATTTCGCTGATACTAACTATTTTAAAACTTATATATGGAATGTAACAAATGGTATCGCTCATGCTACCTATTTCAAAGCTCATATATACTCTTTTTATTTTGAAATACTCCTTTAACATTATTTTCAGTAATTTTTCGAGATTCATGCAATTCACGAGGTAGATTTTATTTATCTTACATTCTATACTAATAACAATATATGTATACTAGTTTCGCTTCACGTGCGTTGCACGTAAATGCCAAATCATATAGTATATGATTTTATAAAATAATGTCATATTATTGTAATTAAAACTGCGTTAATAATATGCATGAAAAAATAAAGTATGAGTTTATGTAAGGACAAGTGTGGATCATCGTATGGTAATTATTCGTCCTCTTCAATAATACCATGGCTGATTTATCTGGTTTCTCAATTACATCGCATCAACATCTTCTAGTTCATGTATATATTGAATAATTAAACTCCTTTATATTCTCACTTTTCTTATCAATCTTGACAAGAAAAGTGAATTATTAATATTTGCTCTCTTGTACCATTATAATATTGTTGCTCATCTTTAACCTATAATATGAATTCTACACAAAAACATTAAATTCAAGTATAATGCTAAATATGATTCTTTCCTTCATAATATACGCGATGCACTTTAATTATGCATGGAGTTTTAAAAAAAAAAGATTTTTTTTTGAAACTTGTGGTTTAAATAAATCATATATCTGTGTGGCTATAAATTATTTAATTAAGGGTGAAATAAAAAGTTTAAGATAATATTATTTCTATATATAAAATGTGCACCGCATAAATTGAGACAAAATGAGTAATAGATTGTGCTTCTCTCTCAAGAGATACCAAATTCACAAAAGGTCATCAATTTTAGATTAATATAAAAGTATAAATATTATTTAATCTCATGATCCCAAAACAATAAATCAAGTTTCAAGTATAGATATGATTCTTCCAAAAAAAAAAAAATATTTATCATCCCTCAATTTGATATGATCTTTTTAACATAGTTATGATAGCTTTTTGAATATTTTTTTTAATGCGGCTTCGAGATAAGCATACTAAAAATGTCGTCCCTATATTTAGCATGAATCTCAAGATCATCACACGTTAGATTTGCAACATAAATCATCCATCTGACAAGTTATGAGATGTTGTAACCATTTTCTTCTTTCTTTTTAATCAATAGTACTATTATACTTATGAAATGAATTATTGAGAAAGTTATTTAGACTATATTCTCCATTTTTGCGAAAACATTTCATGAGACAAAGATTGCCATCATATTTGATCTCTGTTTATAAAACCAACTTCATTTAATTTTCAAGCCAGGCCAATGGCAAAATTCTAGCCATTGGGATTGTCATAGATATTTTAAAGTAGTGACAACATCACACAACACCATGACCACACAACTTTATCTTTAATTTATACTTTTAGAATGAGTATGCGATCGATGATAGTATATCCTTCGGTAGATATCTACTATCCTAATATGTATTTCATTTCTTCATAATTACAAATAATGGAGGATGATAAAATAAGTAAAAAAAGAGAAGAAATAGAACCCGATTTTGTCGCATTCTTCTTGTTCACTTTAAAATTTTTGATGTCATCTCTTTGACTATCCAATATTGTTGTACAGTAATCCATATGTGTTGAGATGTGGAATCTTTTCATTTTTGTAAGCTAACTCTGAAGCCATCATATAGAAGTCCATAAGGGCTTTGCGTCCTATCCTTTTGAACTTTCTTTTTTGGCAGAAATTAGATTCTCCAACTTACTTGGTCAATATCTCACTTTTGTATAGGTTTATACAATCATCTAAATATTCAATAGCACCTATAAAAGTTTCAGAACCTCTATATAGAATCATCACCTTTCCGTGCAAGATATTGTGGAGAAGGCCAATTAAATTCTCATTGCAAAAAAAAAAAAGATATATACTTGAACAATTAACTCCAGGATACGGCGAGTCCATTCATGATTCATGAGTTAACTGAAATGAACGAATATCTTCGTCACTATAATAACATAGATGTAGTAAGGAAGTTCAATTTAATGGTAAGTCATGTGAGTCAGCAAGCATCAAACTCGACAACGAGGATCTCAGTCATACAAGTGAAGCAACGGTTCCACCAAATAATGTTCTTGTCAAATATATAATTACTTTGCTACACCAATGTGTTGTAAAAAAAGTGCCTCTTCGATTCATTTCTACAACGAAGAGTGAAACTATGTTTCTAGCCAATGAAATAAAGAGAATTATTGGTTCATAACGTTTCATGCTTCTTTCAAACTGAAATGGTTTTTTCAAAACCAAAAGTGGCCACCGTTTCTTAAGTGCTTTATAGGTTTTATTTTTTTGGTAATTAAATAGGGTCTTAAGATAAAAAGGATAAAAAAGTAATTTGACTTTTAACTTAAGGACTTCCCCTTTTAATATAGTATATAGTATAGATAGATATAGATTATTTTAAACATTGATATTAGTTACTTGTTTTCTTATATCTGCGGTATTATATTGAAAAATGACATATCTTAAGAATATTAAATTTTGCTTTCTAAACTGTTAAAGTTATTACCATCTTTAGAATACTGATGAGGCAATACCTTTTAGTATTATTAAAATCAAGTACTATTTTAAAGTAATTAATCTCCTTTTTTGCCTTTTTTATTTTTTGGGCAATCCAAAATGGTAGAAGTTTCATTTTCAAAACCTAAGTACTTGGTAGCATAACACAGTGCGATTATAGGCGACATGGAGGCAGATGTCATAGGCAATGTTATGAGCATACAAAGAGAAGCTCGGCGTGCACCCTTATTGACGTCCGAGACGGATCCAGAATTTGAAGGTGGCGGAAGCACATCAACGAACTGCTCAACTAGTGCCCCTATCTGATTTCTAAATTTAAGTGTTTCAAGCACAAAATATGATCGTTTTAAATATATATACGCTTATATATTTAAAATTTTTGCCGAAGTTAACGGGTCCGGTGACCCCTCTCCTATGCTCAAGAAAGTTGGGAAATTGACAATCCTCCATCTACCAATTTGTTGCTCATATAAGGAGACTCAGATTTTCACCTATATATTTGATTCCGAGGTACCATAAGTGAAATAATATTTAACATTAAATTCATGATACCTATTTCAAACTGCATTTGAAATTCTAGGAATTTTTTGAACTTCATTATGGTGGTAGAAATTTGAATTGTTTTGTGTTTTAGCTAGAGATATTTTTGTCCATATATTATTTCTGCCTTAAAAGTGAATGTTTCTCCATTATATTTCAAATGGTGTCGAAATAATAATAAGCAATCAAAAACTAACCATCCAGAACAAATTTTCACCAAAAAAATCACTGAAATTTGTCTACCCAAAATATTATCAAGTAAATAAGGAAATATTGTTTATAATTTTCTTTGAGATAACGGAAACAAAATAAAGAAAACATAAAAGAAATTAAAATTAAAATAAAAATTAGATAAAATACTACAACTTAAAACACTTCCTGGGAAAGGATAAGATGTACTATAATGACAACGAATGTTCAGTTAATACTTTTACCATATATCATTTAATTATTTTAAACACCAAAATTGTCATATTGGAATTTACTGCAATGACAAAATAATCGCAAATTTGTGCTCCTTCTTTGATTTTAGATACCATATCTCCTAGTTTATACCCGAGTAAAATCTTACTTTGCCCCTTCATCTTCTCATTTTTTAAAATGGTACGAAGTTGCAAGGGAAGTTTAATTACTTTGGTCAGATTTGGAATATTAAAATTAATTAACTAATATTTGGAAATAACTGACCCATTATTTCAACTTCAAACTTAAAATATAGAATTTGAAGTTTTAAAAACAAGTTTTAGAAGTTTTTCAAAAAATTTTAAGTTTTCAGTCACAAACTTGAACTAGATTATCAAATTTCAATCAAATCATGTCCAAACGCCTACATTTGCCCTTTTTTGGCTGGCTATCTTTACTTTTGATATTGAGTTTTTTTGGCTTTTAAATTCTATAGTTCTATTTTTAGAAAAGGTTAATTAATTAGCATCTAAATTAACTTTAAAGATAGATAAGTTTTCTTTTACAGTGTGCAATGCAAAAGGACCAAACAAGAAAAAGGGAAAAATTGCATCCGTTGTCTCATTCTTTTATTTGTTCACTCATTATTTTAATAGATAGCTATGTTAAATCTAAAATAGACGTATAAACATTTTATGTTCCCTGTCACTTTCTTAATTAGTAGATAATACAGTTTTTTATAAAATCGAAAGTGTAAGGACAAGAAGTCCAAGATATATAATAACCAATCAGGTCGAAAGTTAGTAGTAAAAAAGATTACTATTTGTTATTCAATGTTTACCATCTCAATCGTCGTTGACAAACTAATGCAGGCACAGCACTATGCCTTGTTGTGCTTCCCATTACCAATTAGGAAGCTATACCAACAAACTAATTTTTTAAGATAGTTAAATGAAAACAAATGAAAGAGATATTCTTTCCTGAAATTACCAAATTAATAATATTTAATATTCTCCTGAGCTGTAATGATAATCACATCTTTGTGTTTATGTGCTTCCACAACCTTGGGTTGTCCATAATTTTCGTTACACAATATAACAACCAAACTGCCAAAAATAACTCTTTCCAAATTCATTAAACCGTCTCTCCATTCTTCACTTTCTTTCTGTACCTTCTTCCTACTTATAAACTCTTGTCTTCACAAAAATCCATTAGTTTCTATTCCCTAACAATCATCTATCTATAGTACTGCAGGTTATGGATCATAATCTTTGATAAAAGGTGCCATTTCCTTTCTCCTTATTTTTCTGTTCCCTCACATGTACAGTTTTCTTTTGTTGAATTTTTGTTGTTTCCATAATAATATGATCTTAAGAATGTAGGATATTGTATTAGACGAACCTTTTATTAATTTTTTTATTTTGTATAATTTCTCTTTAAGTATTCCTTAAAGATTGTTCTTATCCGGTTGGTAGCTGTCCCTCAGTATATTATGAGCAACAGATTTCTACAAAAAAGTTTTTGGTTGGCAGATAAATTTCTTTTTTTTTTTGGG